AAATCGTGGACTTCTTTCTGTTCTTGTCGCCACTGGTTCTTTCCTCTCCTGGTCAGGGGTCGCTGCGGCATGACCACGCACAACTACAGTGCGGGCGCGGCCGCAAGAAACCCAACCCTGAAAACCCGGGCGCGAGGTGCGCCTAAGAGGAAGCCGGGAGCACACTGAACGCAGCAGCTTCTTCAACGGCTGCGGGAAGTCACCGCGCAGCGCGAAGAAACCCAGGATAACCTGACGAAAAGCATCGGGTTTCTTCATGCGCGCCCCCACTGTACGACAAATTGATGCTGGGCAGCTCTACGTCACGCGTTGCCCACCAAGCGTCGAAGAGAGCACGCTCACTCACCAGTCGAGTCTTGCTGCCGGGGGTATTTGCGCCATGCTGCTCGCCATGCCAACAGCTACACGTCGTTCATTTCTAATCGTGCTCATTTCTAATTGTGCTCGTTTCAAATTCTTCCTGGCCCCCTAGTGGCCAGGAAGAGGCCCAGGATAGAACAATTAGAAATGAAAGGATCTTGGCCCCTCAAAAATCAAAGAACTTTCGAAGAATTAGACATGAACAAAGTGTAGGCTTTGACAACCGATTGCAGCCTGGGGGTCGAATCGCTGCTGCGCCATCCTACACAGTGTCTTATTTTCAAAGGAGCTGTAGATGTCGCAAGCAATTCTCTGTGACGGCGGCGATCCTCCAAGACTGAGCGCTCGCATGTAGCTTTCATGCCCACCTCTTGAGCGGAGAGTCATCTTCGCATCAACATTTGCAGGCTGCGTTTCAACACGACGCCCGCGTGCAATGTTCGCCTGACCCACCAATGACCATCTTGTTCACCGAAGGGTGCAGTCAATCTGCTGCCCACAAGCGAAGGGCAAGCACATCAAGAGCCATGACGGTACCATTGCAAATCATACATGAACGCATCTTACGAAAACAACAAGAATGCGTATTGAGACGTGCCATTCAGGCGAGGGCGCCGTTCACTTGCCCGTGTTCATGCACCATTGTTTGCATAGTACTGCTTTGCGCGCATCATGTTCCTCAGGTTCGGCGCTGCGATCCACTGCTATTGAAACCATCGTCGTGCACCGTTCCCCCCCGCATCCCCTCATGTGGCCCCTGATGTGGCTGCTGGTGCTCAAGCAATGCGGCCCACGGCCAAAAAAACATCATCTTTGTGTTTTCCCACCCCACGACACAATCGATGACCCGCGGTCCTCATTTCTGTCGGGCATGGCCCGACCCCGCTGTCGCTCCTGCTCATGCCTCAAATCGCGCCGTCCCAGTTCTGCGGATTGATGCTCAGTTCGGCTATTCGTTTGTGCCCTACAGCCTCGGATGGTATTATGCAATTGCTTCCCGCGCCGATCTGCGTACGTACACTACAAGTCTGACAGCAATGAACGCGGCTAATCCTGGGCGACAGCCATGGAAACATGGAGTTGAACGGCTCCCTCAAAGTTGAGTCAAAACTTGCCTTCCAAGCTGCGGGTCTGGTCGCAAGGAACGCGAAGACGCCAGGTGGCTTTTGACGATGCGTCATCGTTGAGCGGCCTCTGCAAAATTAACGGGCGCGCTGGGCTCTTTCTTGGCTCAACGCCTCCCCGCCCGTGCACCTCCATGCGCTGGTTCCAACTTTAGAGGGCGGGGGCAAGCTCCCCGCGGCGCGACCTCAATTGTGCCTCGTGAAGCATGGTCGGACTTGCAGCTGGGCCTGGCGGCACCATCGCGAACACCCGACGCTGCGGACGACGTAGATCAGAGCGAACGGTTTCGAACAGGAGAGGCACAGGCAGGAGGAGACCAGGAGGAGGCATGGGCGAGGGAGGGCGACACGAGAGCGCTGCGATGGCCTCGAGTCCGCCCTGCCCCGCCAGCCGCTGTCGGTGCAAGCCGCTCGAGCGCGTGCACGAGACACTCCACAGGCAAGGGAGGTCGAACGCGTCAACGTGAACGTGAACGCGTCAACGCGTTCGAACGTCGTTCGCCGGAGACCCGGCAGGCGAGGAGGGTCGCCCTGGCCTCAGGGGGCACCCCCAAGGGGGGGCCGCCGCCGGGAGCCTGACGCTGCGCACGTCTGGCTCGCTCGCAGAAACCGAGGCGTGTTCCGCCTGGCGGTGAAACAGCATCGGGCCGGAGCAGACGCCGAAGGGGCCGCAGCGCCGGCTCTCGGCGATGCTTTTCGGGACGCTGTCTCAGTCTGCTGTGGAATCCCTGCCCCGTCGGCGACTCCTGCTCAGAGCCTGGGAGGGACGAGGAGAAAGAAGAGGATAGAGGGGCCCTGAGACACACAGATACACAGACACAAATGAAAAGATTCCCCCTATTTTCCCACATGTTCTGGGCTTTTGTCTTCCCCCCCACTTCCCACATTTTCCCACATTTTCCTGGGAGTGAAAGACTGATTGTGTCCCTGTGTGTGTTTTTCTCCCTCCTGAGAGGAGGGGCGGGGCACGACGAGGCAGACGGCGCCGAGCGCAGCGGCGACGGAGACGGCCCCCACGAAGGCGAGCACGACGGCGCGCGGCCGCGGCAGCCAGCCGGGGAAGAGAGCAAGGGGGCAGGGGCAGGGCGCCGGAGCGGCAGGGCGGAGGTGGGAGGCGGGAGGGAAGGCTTTGTGGATGCCACGGCAGGGGACACCCCAAGGGTCCTACAGTCGGGGCGTTGACCTAAGGAACCCCAAAATAAGGAACGAGGCCCCTTTTTTCCAGAAGTTAAACTTCGATTGCCATCGAAAACATAAGGAAAACGTGGGGCAAGCTGCGAAACAATCAAGGAACACCGAGCCCCTCCCCAACGAAAAGGGTTCCTTCTTCAGCGCCCCGACTGTATCATCGAATTACAAATGTGTTTAAAGTGTCGGAAAATGCCCTGGAAATGTTTAAAGCATGTTTTTTCATTTCTAAACCAGTTTTAACACATGTTCTAGACATCTGGAAATCGTTTGGCAACGCGCTGCCTCTCCACGAATCGACTTCCGCGACGAGAGCAAGGGGGCCGGGGAGGAGGGGGGGAGGGGCGACAGGAGCGAAGGGAGAGAGAGAGAGAGAGAGGCGCGGGCACCCTGGGGCCATGGCGGCGGCAGGCGGCGGCAGAGCCCGGCCCATCGCGGGGTCGCCCACGCAGCTGCGCGAGCGCCAGCTGAGGTAGGCGGCGGCCATCGCGTAGTGGTCGGAGCGCTTGTCGCCCACGATGAAGTGCTTGCCGCCCCGGGCAGGCTGGCGGCCGGCAGGGCGGCGGGGAGAGTTTTGTCCGCGCCCGGGGCGGGGGCGCGAGGGCGAGGCCGACGGGGAGCGGGGCGCGGAGAGGGGCGGCGTGATCCTGGAGGGAGGGCGCGGGCAGGGAGGGAGCGCGCGCAGGGCGGGAGGGGCGAGGAGGCGAGGCGCTGGGGCATCCCAGGCCGCGCGTGAGAGCACCCCTCCCTGGGCGTCTCTGTGGGTCCTCCGTGCCACCTCCGGACTCCGGGCTCCAGCATGATCCGCCCAGCGAGAAGGAGCGGTTGGGTGTCAGACGCACGCCGTGGAGAGCACTTGGATGGCAGGGCGTAGATAAGTAAAAAGGGGAGGAGTGCAGATGGAGGAGGAGGGGGAGGAGGAGGAGGCGGAGGAGGAGGAGGAGGAGGAGGAGGAGAATGAGGAAGGGGAGAAAGGGGAGCAGGAACAACCGCAGAAGGCGGATGGTGATAAAAGGGGGAAGAGGACATGCGATCAAAGGGACCCCAGACCAGAGAAGTGGGAGAGGGGAGGGGTCCACCCTCCGACCTTCGGAGGGGGAAAGCGAGCGTGTCAGTAGCCCCCCTGCGGGGCAGGTGCACAACCCTCTTTCATAAGTGCGAGCACTACAGCAGACGAGGAGTCGCAAAACTCGGAAACAGCGATGGTGCTGAGAAGCGTGTGCAGGGGAGCCTGGCCGTGCATGGACGCCACGAACGGGCTCTTGATGTTCAAGAAAGCGATCATGGCGGTCACCTCAGCGTCACCAGGCGCTGTGAAGAAGTACGGTCAAGAACGTTTGCTTCGCGTGTCGCGGCGGCGGCCCCGACAACACGCTGCGCCGTGCAAGCGGACAATAGCACCTTGAGCCGCTCCGAGGGGCGGCAGGCGGGGAAAAGCCCGGAACGTTAACACTCGGGGACAGAGACGTGCTTAGCGTGTCGCGCCGAGGCGTGGTGGGCCAGAACCGAGGGCGCCACGCGCTAAGCCAAAAAAATCCCGACCGTATCCCCCTTTGGTTTTCGGGTCTCACCTCGGCTCTCCGGCGGCCTTCGTCGGGTGCTCCGGGCATCCCGGACGGCCTGCGGCGAGGCGCAGCTGCGGGAAAGCACCCCGAGGGGGCGGGACGTCGCCGAGGGCGTCCGAAAACCTCGGGCCACGCCGACGCGCCACGCGCCCCGCGCCACACCTTAGGCGATGCTTAAGAAAACGTAAGTTTTCGGCCAGAGTCTCGATTATTCTTACTGTTTCAATGTAAATCCTAAGAATTTGGTAGGAACTTGGAGTTTTTACTCCAATTCTGAGACTATGCATTTCTTAACCCATGATTTCTTAAGCATTTCGCAGGGTGCACGTCGTCGAGGCGCGAGAGGGGCCCCGCGCTGCCTGCCCTGCCCCGCCCCCCCGCTCTTTGCTGCCTGGGCGCGGGGGGCTGCAGGCGGGCGCTGGCTCCCAGGGGCAGCGGCGGGGGCCGCTGCGAGGGCCCGACAGAAGGCGCGGGGGCGAGGGGAGGAGGAGGAGGAGGAGGAGGAGGTGGAGGAGGAGGAGGAGGAGGAGGAGAGAGAGGAGGAGGAAGGAGAGGAGGAGGAGGAGGAGGAAGGAGGAAGGAGGAGGAGGAGGAGGAGGAGGAGGAGGAGGAGGAAGGAGGAGGAGGAGGAGGAGGAGGAGGGAGGGAGGAGGGAGGGGGGAGGGAGGGAGGGAGCGAGGGCAAGGCACGGCGGCGGCGAGGGGCAGCGGCCAAGCGAGGAGCCGAGGCCCGCCGCCCGCCGCCCTTGCCCCCCGCCCTGCTTCCGGCTGCCCTGGCGCCCCGCCCGCCTCTGGCGGGGGCACCGCGCGAGGGCCGCCCCGCGCTCCTGCCCTGCAGCGGCCCTCCCCCGCCGCCGCTGGCCGAGGGCAGTTCGAACGAGCTGCTTACCTTGCGATGCTCCTGTTCGATTTCTCGCATGGCACGCACCCCACTGCTCCGTGCCCCGCCCAGAGCACCCCAGCTGGCCAGGCGCGGAGCGCTGGGCCCACCTCCGAGGAGGGTGCCCAGAGTGCCTGCATGCATTCGTATGCAGTCGGCCCATACAGCCCCAGGCCATGAGGCCCGAGAAAAGCGGCGGCTCACGCAGCCTGGAGCCGCCACTGCTGTATGGCGCCCCCCTGTTGGCCAGCCAGGGGGGCACGGGCACTGGCGCCACGCCGCCTCGGGAACGCACCCAAGGGAGGAATCTAACATTTTTGTTTACCGTCGACAGCTCAAGAGCTGCGTCTGCGAGACTGACACCGACGTGAACATCACACCGCAACGGCAGGGGTCCTGTTTCTCGGAATACCTCTTGGAGGCGGTGTTGCAACCTCTCGAAGGAACAGAACAGGGCAGCACTGTAGTGAACGCGCAGGGGCGCTTACGTAGGATGAGCGCCAGCTCTGCGGGCCGGAGTGTTTGTTTTCTCCCTCCAGCTGGGGGCCTCGACTTGGCGGCGCGCACAGGGGGGTAGGGAGAAGGAGAAGGCTCCTTAGATGGAGGCTGGTTCTCAGAGAGCGCCGGCAGGACATCTGCAGAGAATGCCCACGCCTTCTACGACGCAGGGGTGCCTCTAAGAAGCCTTCCCCCTCCCCCCTACCCCCCCCTTCCCAGACCCCCGACGTCATGATTTTTTCATGACGTCGACCCCCCGAGGTCTTGACCCATTCCCCGGGACTGGTTTTTCGTCCCGAGTCGTTTTTTGACGGTCCCGACGGCCGGTGAGGGCCCCCGAAGGCCAAAAGTTGTGGAAAACCTCCCGTCATGATTTTTTCATAGCTCGAGGGGGTCTGGGTTCTGCGCGTGGCCGGTCGATCCTCGAACGAGGCTGCCCAGCACCACCCCCGTGCTCCGCGGACAGGTCTGCCGCTGGGAGCCGGGCCGGCAGGAGGACCCCGAAGAGCGAGGCGTAGAGGAGCGCCTCGCGGCCAGCGGGGGATGAAAAGCCTCCTCCTCCTCCTCCTCTTCCTCCTCCTCCTCCTCTTCCTCCTCCTCATCATCATCCTTCTCCTCCTCCTCCTGCTTCTCCTCCTGCTTCTCCTGCTTCTCCTCCTCCTCCCTCCTCCTCCTCCTCCCTCCTCCCTCTTCCCTCTCCCTCCTTCTCTCCTCCTCCTCCTCTCCTCCTCTCCTCCTCCTCCTCCTCTCCTCCTCCTCCTCCTCCTCCTCCTCCTCCTCCTCCTCCTCCTCCTCCTCCTCCTAAAGACAAGATACGGTGAGGGCCTTGGATACGGAACCACTAGATAAGGAATCCAGCGTTTGAAGCAGGTGGAGCTCCAATCGTGGATCGGCCATGGATATCAACGCTGCCCTCCTCAGATCAGGAATCCTCCAGGGTCTGAAGCCTCCTGGGCACATTCCTTAGCCAACGCCCCCACTGTAAGACAGACAGAGCGGGACAATACTAGACAGGACCAAGCAAGCCAAGGCGGTGCAAGACGTGAAGCGGAGCGGCCGCACAAGATGGGACATGGCCGGCCGTCTCATACCATTCGGAGACAGCGTGTACGGGCCAGGCGTGCCATGCTTACAGAACTGCCCTCTCGGTGCTGCAGCAGAGGGCGCCGATTAGAATCCCGTCCCGCGCCTTGGAAGACATGGGGTGCAGCGGAATGGGAGCGAGCCAGCGGCCCATCGGCGTCAGCGCGTCTGCAGAGCACACAGCTTGATAATATGCACAAGGCTGGAAGCAACAAGCTGATAAACCATGTTCGCTCCTGTGTCGTAGGCAGGGCCTCAAGAAATACACCGGGCGAGCCAGCTTATGAGGATTCGCTTGCTTTACAGCCGTCCTCCCCGTCCTCCTCCTGCGCCCTCCTTCCCTCGTGCGGGCCCTCCTGCTCCTCCGCCCTTCGCCTTTCCCTTCCCGTCCCGAACAACTTCCCTCCCTGTCCCGTGCCACCCCATGCCCGCTCCTCCCCGTGGCCCTCCCTGCGCACCAGAGCGCAGAAGCCTCGGCGCTCGGCCGAGGCAAAGAGGTCCCTGCAGAAGACAGGGCAAGAAGCTGCGCACTGCCACCGCCTCCCCCGGCTAGTATAGACCGGTGTCGGGAACGATCCTGCGCCAACGGATGCGAGCTGGGAGTCCCCCGACGGCTCACGTCTGCGGACACAATACTGGCCTTGGCAGTGTTCGAGCGCCGGGAGCGGGAAAGGTCTCGCGCCTGGCCCGTACAATTCCAAGGGTGTGCCGCACCTGTGCGCCACTGCACAGACTGGTTTCCAATCAGCGATGGCACTAGCGGGGTATTACTGACCTCGGGTGAGCTTGAAATGGGCGTTGTGGTGTCTCGCTGTTGCCCTGTGCTGTGTAGGTGGTGCGGTATGGGTGGTGCCCGTTGATGCCTCAGTTGTTGCGGCTTCTCGTCCTTACTGTCACAACATGGGTGGTGCCTTGCGGCTGGGGCTGGACAAAGCCTTAACTACTGCGACGTCTCGCTCTTTCCCCGGAGCCATATGGGTCGCGCCCAACGGCTCATGCCCGGTGATGCTTGAAACGTTGCTGCTTATCGTTCGTGCCCTGGTGCCCAAGGAGGGATGCCCTACGGCTGGTGCCCTAAGATGCCCTGAAAGGGTGCGATGGCTCGTTGCTGCTCTGGTACTATATGGGTGGCACCCTACGCCCAGTGCCCTATGCCTGCAATTGTGTGATTGCTCGTTCCTGTCCTGGTGCTGTAGGAGTGGTATCCGCTGGTAGGTGCCCTAAGATGCCTGAATGTTGAGTCCAATCGTTATTGCCCTGGGGCTCCGGTAGGGGTGCCATACGACTGGTGCCCGATCACTTGTGCACTGTGATGCCTTTAGCTGGTTCGATGTCTCGGTCTTACCCTAGCGTCCTAAAAGTGGCACCTGTGGCTAGCACAACATCATGCCCTCACTGGTGCCCTACGACAGGTGTCATATGATGCCTTCACATGTTGCGATTTCTCGCTCTTGCTCTGCGCCCTGCAGCTGGCATCCTAGAGCCCATGCCCATGATGCCGTACATGTTGTGATAGTGATCTTACAAGGCTAACGCCACACAATATTTATTTCACTGCGACTTTTCGATATTGCCCTGGTGTTTTCTGGGTCTTGCCCTGTGGATGGCGCCCAACAGTACCTCAATGACTATGACTGGTCGTTTCCCTATGGGTTATGCTCTATACCTGGCGCCAGTGGTGCATGGCGCCGATGGTGCACCATGTTGCGAGTTGCCCGATGGCTGGCACCTAATGACGACCAAGTGTTTGCGATGTGTCATTCTTGTCATGGTGCCATATGCATCGTGCTCTGTGGCTCCAGCCGTGTGAGGCGTCAGGTGGTACGGCTCCTGATTATTGTCGTGATTCCCTTGGGATGGTGCCCGATGGCAGGCGTCAGATCGCGCCTTAAGTGATGTGATGTGCCGTTGTTGTCCTGCATGGGTGATGTTCCATGCATGATGCCGTGTGGTGCGTGAGCTGCTGCCGTATATAATCCCCACCGTGGTGCCGTGTGGGTGGTGCCCTATGCACGGCGCGGTGTGATGCTCCAGCTGTTGTGATGTCTCGTTCTTGCCAATTTTGAACCTACGTACAGGCGACGTGGCACGGCTGGGGCACCATGACGGCGTATTTGGTGCGGTGCATCGCCGTGCCCTTGTGCCACGCGGGTGGTGCCTCATGCCTGGCGCCGAATCATGCCTTCAGTGTTGCGGCTTCTCGTCCGCGTCGTGGTGCCCTACGAGTGGGGCTCTCCGACTGGCGGTGCACAGTGCCAGAGATGGTTGCGATATAGCGTTCCCGCCCTGTTCCAACATGGGTGGCGGCCCAGGGGCGGCGTCCTATACTGTCTGACCTGCTGCGAATTCTCATTTCCGCCCTGGCCTCCTAATTATGGGTGGTGCACTATGGTTGATGCCATATGATGTCCTGGTTGTTTCGAAGTCTCGTGGGAGACAGCGGCGCAGCGAGAGCCAGCGGGAACTGTACGAAGCCGCCCGGTGTTCTCAGAACCTTCTCCTCTCCACGTCCCGCACGCGCGCGCCTCTCTGAACCCAAACAAAAACCGCTGCAGTCCTCGCGCGCTCATGCCCTCCTTCTCGTTCATCATCGACATCTCCTGGGGAGGGGGGCGGCCAGAAGCGCCGACGTCGCCAGCTGGGCGCGGCAGAGGGAGGGAGGGTGTCGGAGACTGCAGGCCGGCGGGAGGTGGCACGCGAGGGAAGGATGCGAGCGCATAAGCGTCACGAGGTCGACTTCTCGCCGCGCCTTGCCCTCCTCTTCTCCTCGTCCTGGGGGGAAGGAGGGGAAAAGGGGAAGGAAGGCTGCGCCTGCGGTCGCCCTTGAGCTGTGAAGCTCACGAGCCCCCTCCGATCACGATCAGACTTGGCCTCACCAAGCCAGCCACCACGGCCCAGCCCAGCCAGCTAATCAGTCTTGAGCCAAACCAGTCTTGGCCGACAATGATCAGTCGTGGCCCGATTCACCCCACATCGTGGGGCACCCATCTGATCGACCGATTGATGAGCCAAGTTCTGATCGATCGTCAAATCTGCGGATCACGATCTGCGACCAAGCACCGATCAATGGAGCAGAGGGTTCCAGTTTGCGAGTGGGCGAGAAAGCGGGAGAACGAGATAAAGAGAGACAGAGAGAGAGAGAACCCCACAAAAGAGAAAGAGAGAGAGAGAGACAGAAAGAGAGAGAGAGTACACAAACAACAACAAGCAACCAACAAACAATTAGCCTGGCGAAGAACCCAACCATATGCAGTTGTGAATACCGTCTTTGTGAGCAACGCATTCGGTGGGGTTCCCAATAAGGCCACGAAGCGCTGCCGTGGGTGCGGGAACCGCATGCGAACACCCCCACTGGGGCCTTCGGTGGAGCTCCCCATGGGGCCACGAAGCGCTGCCCTGGGTGGGGGAACCGCATGCGGGCATCCCCACTGGGGCCTACGGTGGAGCTCCCCATGGGACCACGAAGTGCTGCCTTGGGTGGGGGAACCGCATGCGGGCACCCCCACTGGGGCCTACGGTGGAGCTCCATATGGGGCCACGAAACGTTGCCCTGGGCGGGGGGACCGCATGCGAGAGCAGCCACTAGGGCCTACGGTGGAGCTCCCTATGGGGCCACGAAGCGCTGCCCTGGGTAGGGGAACCGCACGCGGGCACCCCCACTGGGGCCTTCGGTGGAGGAAACGAAACGCTGCCCTGGGTGGGGGAACCGCACGTGACCCCCTCATTGGGGCCATCGGCGGAGCTCCCTATGGGGCCACGAAACGCTGCCCTGGGAACCGCATGTGAACACCCCCACTGGGGCATTCGGCGGGGCGCCTCATAGGGGCTACGAAGCGTTGCCCTGGGCGGGGGGGAACCGCATGCGACCCCCCCCCACCTGGGGCCATCGGCGGAGCTCCCTATGGGGACACGAAGCGCTGCCCTGGGTGGGGGAACCGCATGCGACCCCTCCCACTGGGGCCATCGGCGGAGCTCCCTATGGGGCCACGAAGCGCTGCCCTGGGTGGGGGAACCGCATGCGACCCCCCCCCACTGGGGCCATCGGCGGAGCTCCCTATGGGGACACGAAACGTTGCCCTGGGTGGGGAACCGCATGCGACCCCCCCCCCACTGGGGCCATCGGCGGAGCTCCCTATGGGGCCACGAAACGCTGACCTGGGTGGGGGAACCGCATGCGACCCCTCCCACTGGGGTCATCGGCGGAGCTCCCTATGGGGACACGAAGCGCTGCCCTGGGTGGGGGAACCGCATGCGAACCCCCCCCCACTGGGGAAATCGGCGGAGCTCCGTATGGGGCCACGAAACGCTGCCGTGGGTGGGGCAACCGCATGCGACTCCCCCCCCTGTGGGGCCATGCCCTGGGTGGGGGAACCGCATGCGACCCCCCCCCCACTGGGGTCATCGGCGGAGCTCCCTGGGACACGAAGCGCTGCCCTGGGTGGGGGAACCGCATGCGACCCCCCCCCCGCCCGCAATGGGGAAATCGGCGGAGCTCCGTATGGGGCCACGAAGCGCTGCCCTGGGTGAGGGAACCGCATGCGACTCCCCCCCCCCACTGGGGCCATGCCCTTGGTGGGGGAACCGCATGCGACCCCCCCCCCCACTGGGGCTATCGGCGGAGCTCACTATGGGGCCACGAAGCGCTGCCCTGGGTGGGGGAACCACCGCATGCGACCCCCCGACCACTGGGGCCATCGGCGGAGCTCCCTATGGGGACACGAAGCGCTGCCCTGGGTGGGGGAACTGCATGCGACCCCCCCCATACTGGGGCCTTCTGTGGAACTCCCTATGGGGCTACGAAACGTGTGAGAGGTGCGCCGAGAGCAGAGGCAAGGAGGGGATGAGGGAGGAGGGAGGGGGCAGCGGGAGGAAGGAACGCGGGGCGCTGTCTCTTCAAAACGAGGACCCAACACCACAGAATGGTAGGGAATGAGAAGGAGGGAGGAAGCGAGGGAGGAAGAGAGAAAGAGAGAGAAGGACATATACAATGAGAGAAACAGAGAGATAGAGAGGGGGCAGAGAGGGACATGAACATTGATAGAATTAACGACGTTTTACGCACATGCGCACATTTGTATTCATTGTAGTTTTAGACAGACACGAAATACGAATATGGTTACACCCACACATATATATATACACCATAAATGCACACAGTATACTCAGACACATCTATCTAATACACGTGTATATATATACATACATACACACATACATACATACATACATACATACATACATACATACATGCATGCATGCATGCATGCATGCATGCATGCATGCATGCATGCATACATACATACATACATACATACATACATACAACCATACAGCGATACATCGAGGGCCCCAAGAGTCCCCCCCCAGAAAGCTCGGAGGCGGCCCTCCGGCGGAAGGCCTCGGCGAGCCGTCTTCGGGCCTCCAGACTTGGGGCCCAGACCTCAAGTCCGGACCTCAGACCCCCATGCCCCTCGAGAAAACGGACCCCGGACCCCTCGTCGCGGCTCGAGCCGCGACGAGGGTGGGCGACCCGGACCCGGCCCCCAGACCCCCAACTCCTCCTGCTCATGTTTCTCTGGGGGTGGTTCGATCCGCGCCGCAACACGCACCACCTGTTATACATACTGCGCGCCAACCTTTCGATCACCCGAACCGGACCGCCCGAAACCGAACCGTCCCGAGGCAGAACCGAATCGGCTCAAACCGAGCTGGCGCCGAACCCGAACCGCTACAACCGAACCGGCCCGCTGCCGAACCAACCCGAACCGGCCCCGTGCTGGACTTGGCGGGCCGTGCGGAAGCC